GCTTCTTCTCCTCACATTGCGCCACCCTCCCCGCCCTCTTCGGACTTCCTCCTTCAACCTACCTCCCTCATCGGTCGCTCGCCCGCTCAAGCACAGCACCACGCGTCATCTGCCTCGCCTGCTGTCACTGCGGGCCAGGGAGAGGAGAGGCGAATCGGAGGGCAGGAAGGGGATAAGGATGGGGGTGGAGACGACAGGGGGGAGGCCCATGCTCCTGGATCCCCTGGTGAGTCCTCCCCCCTCTACGCTCTCATGGCTGCTGCCGCCGCTTTAACCCAGGGCGCTGTGTAGTAGTCCTAACATCATCTTTTCGTCAGGGAGGGATGTATTACAAAGGAAAGACTCTGTTATATATGTATGGGTGATCACTGCCATCATTGCGCCACAGGAGTGGTGTTTTGGAGGGGGGGGGGAAATGGATAGCATTGCAAGCGCTCTCTGGGGAAAGCAACTCGACAGAAATTGCTGATCTCAGCTTTCAAAATACTATGTAATACGCTCCGTGTGATAATTGTACTGTTTGATACCACCACTTATGAGTACGTGACAAGCGAAACAGAGTGAAGCCCTACACATGTCAAAAGAACAACCTTGTTCATACTTGGTGCTTTCCCAGCTTGCCTTTGCTTTACTTCGGTACCTCTCCAGATCCAGAACTACGAAATTCTTACGACACAGCAAAAGCGTCGTACGCCAATTCAAAGGGTCTGTCCATGCGATGCGTTCAATCTACCCATACTTGAATCTTGTGGATGGGAATGATATGAGAGGTTGGAGCTTCCCATGGGCCGCGTCAGCTGACAGGGAAGTCCTCGGCCTGAAGCGTACGATGGCCATCCTTGTGCAAAAATATTTTGATGCAAACGACAGAGATTGACTCCTCTGTCTATCACATGGTTGAATCCGTTTTTTATTGCTCCTGTATTGATTTCAGTCGGATAAATGCTGCGTATCGAATGTATTTCCGTTAAAAGCTTTTCTGAGATGTGGCAAAGCCGGTTTTTCTACTAGGCGACAGCGTCGCTCCCACGTCAAGTCAGCAATAGCCCTTCACGAAGCTCTTTTCCACGTTTCGATCCATTCCAGGGCACTTTTATATATCAATCATCTTTCAACATATCAATATTAGGCTAGGAAAGATCAAAGGGGGTCTGCTTTGGTGGAAGCAGCAGGAGGGCCTTAGCCCGCATCCATCACACCTCGCCGTCTCTTAATCAAGCGTTCGGACAAGCACCTGCGAAATGATAGACAGCCAAGGCCATCAAGCTTCATCCTTGCACAAAAACCTCAATTTTGAGGACTTATCTACGCAAGGAAAAAGCTACGATGAGTGCAAGGATCTGGACCCCTCGACGCCCCGAACCACCAAGCGTGTGACACTTGTGGAGGAGCCAACACACTACGGACCGGCGTACACTTTCTTTCCCACCCCTACCCCGGGTGGACTAGCCTCATCAACAAATCGTACGGCCTCAAGTCATGCGTTGACTGAGACGCTGGCCCCACTGTCGGCCACGCATAGAAAGGGCAAGCCCCCCCCCCCAAGATCACGCTCCTCTCCGTTAGCTGGAACCAGAAGCCTGACATTTCAGGGGCCCCTAGTTCCTTCCCAGCTGCTTCCATGGCAACGTCTCGACAACATCCACACCCATTAGTCCAGCCCTCGCCGCGATCGGTCCTAAAGAAGCCGAGCTCCAACGTTCCTCTGCGGAGGCCCCTCCCTGTGATCGACGCCTCATTCCTTCCCGATCCCCTCTCAGTCGCCAACTCCTCTACGAACCTGCCTCTTTCCCACTCAAATGCGAACCGGCATATTAAACCTCCACATCTGCACTTTGACGGCAGGAGTGATCAGAGGGTGCCTCGAGGGGGCGCTGCGGGTGTCGATGGAGGGAGCCGGACCCTCCCCTCGCCCCGGCCTCGTCCTCCGTCTCTAAATGCCATCTCTCCCAGGCCCGGCACCTCGTACCTCGCCCCGCTCTATGAAGGGGATGAACGGCAGGAGGAGAGCGCGGAGGAATCAAGCAGCGACGAGGAGATGCCGGGGGGGCAGACTAGGAGGCTTGGCTCCTCATCCCCGGTTCCTCTCTCGCCCCCTCCCCCATCTCCTCCTTGCCGTCGAACCTCCCCCCCACCCTCGACCCGTTTATCGGTGCAACAGCTTTCCTCAGACCCTTCGGGCTCGGGAAGAAGAGCATCGCTCGGGCAGTTAAAGGGGGAGAGCGCCATCGAGCTGCAGAGTCTTGAAGAAGGCTGGACAGAGGAGGAGATCAATAGGGAGGTAGCGTCTCCCCGCCGCCGCAGCAGCAGCACTGGCATGTCTTCTCCCCCGCCGGCGACGACCGCGGTTAGGGCCCTCCCTCCCAGAGGGGGCCGGGCGGAGGGGGGGAGCAACCGGCCAGGCCCCCTTGGAAAGAGACCCCCCGCCCTCCCCCTGGCATCCCCTCCGCTGCTCTCCCCCGCCACCTCGTCGGTCCCGCCCTCCTCCATGGCATCATCCCTGTCGTGCACCCCTAGCGCCAGCCTCCCTCCCAGGCGCCCCGATGTCCACCGGTCCATTTCCGGATACGCCCACGTGGACGCCGGTCGGGCCCTCCGCAGGCATCTGGCCCTAGGGCCCTTCACATCCGGGTTGGAATGGACGATGCTCGCGGGCGTGGCCACTGGGCTGCTGTCCGCAGCCTGCGTCGTGGCGGAAAAGCACGGCTTTTTCATGGGGTTTAACGACTTCGAGTATACCACCGCCGGGGACCTCAACCTGATCGACCTCAGCATTGGCTGGAACCGTTTCTCCATGGACGTGAACGGGATGGCCGTTGTCACGCTGCGCCCCCTGAACAGCATCTCGCGCATGGCCTATCTGCTTGGCTGTCTCACCTTCGCGGGCCACCTCCTCTCTGTTTGCCTCTCCGCGATCCTAGTCTCCTTCCTCCACCAAGTGCGGAGCCAAGGCCGCATTTCCCCTCTTGCCGGGGCTTTCGTCCACACGCGGCTCATCTCGGGCTGCCTTATTTTTCTCAGCCTCTTTCTGGCTGGTGTAAGCTGCATCGAATTCCGCTATGTAGTTTTGCGGGACTTCAACGCGGAATTTAGGGATGCGCCGCAAATGGAGGGCTTTCACATCAAGCCCGGCTGGGCGTACTTCCTGACTGTGACGGTCTCAGCGCTCTGCCTGCTCATGGGTGGGCGACTAGGGATCAACGCAGGCATGATGGACAAGGTGCTCGCTCATGCAGCGGCAATTGGCACGGAGACCGAGGACTCTCTGCGGAAACCCAAGCGGGGCCAAGTACATCATTTTGCGGGTCCGCCCGCCCGATCCCAACGGCCGCCGAGACCAGCTTTCCTATCAGTATAGTCTAGATCCAGGAGATGGCACACATCGTGAGCGTTTCTTGTAGTCTGTCATCTCACGCCAACGCTTTCGCGTGCCTTCGCAAATTTAGAAAATGGAAAATTCTAGCATAGCACATGCCAAAAGCAAATCACAACAAAGAAGTTATGCATCATCGTCAATCGGGGTATCCATTTGACGTTAGCTTTGTGAAATTCCTCCACGTATTGTATTCTCACTTTGTCTGCAAAATGGCCTCTAAGACAAGCTTGGCAAGTATACAAAATATACATATTTTCTCGCGAAATGAGGGGTCAAACTGCAGCAGATCTTCTCGTGCGCCTCCGAATAGTTTTCACACCAATCACAATGTCCTGTTACTCAGATGTTGACAAGCTCACGGCTCGGGGGTCTGGCCTTTCACTGCGGGTGCCCCGCCTTGCCAGGTAGCCGATCGGACGACTCGTGCTCCAGAAGCAGGAGCACCACCCGTGGAAGCGTTCGGGACAAATGTGAAAGCTGGAGGTAGGCGTACGGCCACATCCACAAGACTGGGTGCACTTGACGAGCGACCATCATTCATTAAAGTATTTTCCTGCGAACTTGGGTAAACGTTTTCCTTTACAGGATTGGGAACACAGCGTAGTATTTCGTTGGTAGCATCCATAGGAGTAGTTCTCAGGGCGATGATAGGTCTTGACGACACCAAAATATCATAAATTTAGACTAACAACAATATAATGCAGTCAGTGAGCTTAAACTCAAACCAATTGTGTTGCAAAATCCAAGGATAAATATTGCATTGAATGGTTAGCTCCGTCATCGAAGGCGAGCCACGCATTTTCCTCGGGGTCATGCAGACTAGTTACGCACGTGACTACTGAGAGCTTTATTTACTGTGCATCAACGTCGTGCACATGACCATTGTTTTTCTTCCAATGCGCACATCGACCGGCCAACACTACCCCGACGCCTGCCCCGGCGCCTTGACTTTGAAGTGGAGACGAAGTTCCGTCCTAAAAACTCGCATTTGGCGGGGTATTTCCCTGGGACCTGCACTCGTTCACTCCCGCGCCTACACTCTCTCTTCTCTCCAATAAAGTCGGGCGGACGCCAGAACTTGCAGCACGTATGTCCCCATAAGGCACGAGTCGGCCGACCGCGAGGTGCAGAAGCTTTTATGCCTACATTGTGACATGTCCTCCTGCTAGGCTTCGCCATAATGTGAGGGGTGTTTGTCCTTTTTTTGCAAACGCCCGCCGGCACCGTCTTGGGGCCAGGTTCCTGGCCGTCGGCGAGTCGCCCCCGGTCCGACCCCGTCAGGTGGCCATTCGCCCTAAACCCCCCTACTTTTCCTAACACGTAAAAAATGCAGTGGTCAAACTCCCGACGGGCAGTATGTCTCCGAAACATCTCGTTCGAGTGATTGTGAGCTTTGGTTGTGCACGGCTAATAAAGCAGAACGTTGCAGTTCTCTTTCCGGAGAACGTGTACTTGGGGTTGAGAAACTCACTGAAGTTGATCGATCATTTGCCGCGGGGGCCTTTTTGCCCATTTTTACGATTTTGAGAGGGTGAAAATCCATTGCATCTTTGCAAGCAGCCCAAGGCGGCTATAAATATGTAATTGACTAACGAGAGAGCCCTCAAAAAACCACTTTAATTCGCAAAGACCTTCTGACAGGCACTCACGCGGGTATTACTGTGGCCACGCACCTCAACCACAGCCGTGGCAAACCAAAGGACGCATTGTGGCATACTGCCAAGCTTACCGGGATAGCTGACGTAATTTTGCGTACATCGTCAGAAACAGAAAAGGCCGTATCGCCGTGCCACAGGCATAGCTGCCTGATAAAGATTGTGCTCCGGAAGAAAGTAGATGCATCAGCCTTCACCAGACGGTAGTAACCTGCTCCCTGTGCCTCTTCTTCTTCATAGTGCGGCGCAATGGGGGCTTGAAAAGATAGTCCTATGTCTATTGGAATCCCATTCCGAGGCCATCGATGTGACGGACGAGCACGGATGGACGCCCCTGATGCTGGCGGCCTCCCGAGGACATAGCTCCGTGGTGGGGTGCCTGCTCGACCGCGGCGCCGACGTCCACCTGCGAGACCTGGACGGGATGACAGCCTTGACACATGCCGCTGCCGGGCGACTGGGCAATGCCAAGGTGGTACAGCTATTGCTGGAAAAAGGCGGGGCGGACCCTGGGGCGGCCTGTAAGTGGGGGTCGACCCCGCTCATGGAGGCGGCGGCCTTGGGCTTCGAGGGGCGCATGCAGGCCCTCCTCACGCGCAGGAGGGGAGCAAATCAAGGGCGTGGGGGGAAAAGCGAGACGAAGAAAACATGGAGTGGCGGAAGTCGTGTGAGTATTGACCGCCAGGATGGGAAAGGCGCGACGGCTTTGTTTAAGGTGAGGGCGAGGGGAGGGACGAGGCCCGAGAGAGAGATATGAAAAAGAAAGTGAAGCAATCCGTACAAACTCCTTGTAGCACAATGTTGGGGTGTGATATCCAGGCACATGGACAATCATGTTGATAAAATGCAATGCCCTCCAGGCCTGCCTGTACGGACGGGTGGGGGCCGTTAAGCTCCTCCTCGGCGCAGGCGCGGACCCCAGGATCCCCACCCACGACGGCCTCTCGCCCATGCTCGCCACCCTGTCCTGCCCACGCGGCAGGGGACTACAAATAGCGCGCTTGCTCGAGGTGGGTCGGACTGGGCGGGAAGGAGGGGCGCGGGGGGTATGGAGAGTGGGAGGCGAGGAGGTGGGGATGGCCCTCTGACACGAGCGACCCAAGCTTCTGACCTGACACGAACGTTGCCTCCATCATGCGATCGACCTCATTGTCCCTAGCTCCCAGACTCATCCATTTCCCCTCCCCCCCTCCCTCCCTCCCTCCCTCCAGCAAGCCATGTTGGAGCCCTGCCGCCTCGACCATCTCCTGAAGGGGTGGTTCTGCCATCTCCTGACCCGCAGCCCTGGCGCCCCTCAAGCCCTGCGCAACCCGTCCTCACCTGTCGTAGAGTCGATCCTCCCGCGCTTAAGCACTGCCTCCCCTCACCTCCTTGCCCGTGCCTGCACTGAGGGCCAAGCGGCTTGGAAGATCCTCGGGGGCCGGAAAGGGAAGGCCTTGCCGACTCTGGAGGTGCATGCAGCTGGCAGCCTTTGTCTTGGGGCCTCGCTTTCCTCCTCCTCGCTCTGCCCCTCCACCTCAACCGCCTCCTCCACCGACAGATTGAATGACCCCGCACTTGGCCGCGATGGCAGCCCTGCGAGCATGGGCGGCGATGGGGTGAAGAACAAGGGAACAGGCAGGTACTGGGGCTCGGAGAGGGACTCTCGAAAACGCTCGCGCCCCCCTTCGGAGCTGGGAGGAGCCGAGGGAGGTGGGGGAGGGAGGGGGAGGGAGTCACCTGACCCGGGAGGAGGAGGAGGAGGAGGAGGTGGACGGGGGGTGCTCGCACACGTGTTACGGGGGGACTGACGCCTGCAGTCATGGCGGAGCTCGTGGATTTCATGAGAGCGCCGTGGGATGCGAGGGAGGAAGGAAGGGAGGGCAAGAGGGAGGGGAAGGTGTGTGGCGGGTCAGAAGGGGTAGAAGAACGGACCAAGGAGACGCGCGCATGGATTGAGCGGCGTCGTGAGGAGCTGGAGGAGCTGCGGAAGGAAAGGGAGTGGGGGGAAAGCAGGAGGAAGAGGAAGAGGAGAAGGAGGAGGAGGAGGGGAGGGGAGGAGGTTGAGATGGAGGGGGGGGGGCAGCGTGACACGGAGGCCTTCACGACAGGGGACGAGGAGGAGGAGGAGAAGGAGGGAGCATGGGAGGAGGAGGGTGATGAGGGGACTGAGAGTGTAACGGCCGAGAGGGAGGTGGTTGAGGTGCAGAATGAGGAAGAGGAATGGTGAAGGGAAGAAGGGGGGATCCAGGTAGTATAGGCGATGCGTGGTATAAGAGGAGATCGGGTGTCCTCGAGATGTGCATCAGGATGGACAGGAAGAGAGAGGGAAAACAGGGGAGCATGGAGGGAGGTTACGAAGTGGAATTTCGGTGAAGAGGTGGGAAGAAGGACAGGGGGGCGCAAAAGAGGGGGGAATGGAGCAGGGGGGGGGAAAGAGCGAGTGCAGCGAGCGACAAATTGTGAAATTTTATCGGCAGAGCTTGTCTCGGTCGTGAGACGTCTTGGGCGACGCGTCGACAAGGAGAGGAGGGGTGGCTGGGGTGGCGAAGACATGCGATCAATGGATGCCCCGAGTGATGTGTGAGGCCACAATGATGCGTGAGCTTGTTTGTATACTTTCTAGCTTTTGTGTGATGGAGTTATGAACTGGCATTGAAATCGAGTATTTCATTAATAAGCGAGAACAGAATGAACGAGTGATCTAATAATAAATAAGCGCCCGGCGAAAGAATTGAGACTGTAGCCCACCGACACGCCAAACTCGCCTTGCTGTCTCTCTTTCACTCTCCCGACGCCCATGCTCTGCATGCTTCAAATCTGAATATCCTCGGCCTTTCCTCTCATCCTCTTCCCCCCCGCGTCGCTTTCCCGCCCCCTTCACTCTTCCTCCGCCCCTCCCTCACCTAACCCCCTCCCTCCCTCAACTCCTCCTGGGACAGCACCCGTGCCATGTCGCAAATAACGGCTCGGATCTCTCGCCCCCGGTCGGGCCCCGCGTGATGGAGCGCCTGGGAAGGAGGCAGAAGGGAAGGTGAGGAAGGGGTGCGGAGACGAAGGAAGGAGAGGAAGGCTGTACGTACGTGGAGATACTCGACAAGGGCGGAGGTGGGCTGACCGAGTTCCAGGAATATGTGCCCGCTTGCGAAGGCAACACGTGGTTGAGGATCGACAGGGATGAGATCAGGTCTCCTCCATCAAACCACATCCGTCCCTCCTCCTCTTGTGTCTCCCCTGTCCCCACCTCTCCCACCCCATCTCCCTTCTGACCTGTTCAGGTAAGGCTTGTATCGCACTTGATAGCGGCGCTTCTTCTTTGCCTCTGCCAACACCTTTAAAGCCTCTTCGCGCCGCCCCTCCTGCCACAGGTACTGGAGGGATCCGTGGACGGAGAGAGGAAGGGCCGAGTTAAAGAGGAAAGACGAAAAGGACAGCCTCATCAAGTACATCCTCGTTATTACATTTAACTATTATTATCCCCCCTTTTGCCACTTTCCCTCCCTTCCTCTTCCTATCTACTTCCCTCCCTCCCTCCTCCTCTCCCTCCCTCCTTTGCCTCCTACCAAGCCCAAATCGTTCCAGGCATTGCCAAATTCTGCGTCCTGCTTCATTGCCTCCTTAAGCTCCTCTTTCGCCTCTTTCAAAGCCCCCTCATAGGACAGCAGGTACGCGAGGTACGTCCGTGCATCGGCCGTTGGATAAAGAGCTGAAGGTGAGAAGGAGGACGATAGAGTGAGACATGGAAATGGTGGATGAAATCGTGAGAGAAATACGACCAGGGTGAAACAGAGCGTTGGGCATCTTTGAAAGGGGAGGGAAGGGACGTACCGAGTGACATCTGGTACAGGCTCTTGATTCTTTCCCTGTGCCGGGTGGGGAGGGGACCAAAGTGATAGGGGCGCTTCAGGCATACAAGAAGCACTTCCTCGTCCAGTCTTTCCGCTATTCTCCAAAGTCAAGGACGGATAGAGCGCCTTTTGTACCCTCGCACCGACCCCATTCCCCCTCTTTCACTCCACCAGCATCTTCGGACCCACCGATCTATCACCCCTCCCTCCCTTCCTCCCGCCTCCAAGAGCCGCTCTGCTTCTTCGAGCTTCTCTAGCGCAGCATGTAGCTGTGAGTTATGTTTGCGGGCATTGCCATAGACTTCTTGATAGGTCACAGGGGAGGAAGGGAGGGAGGAGAAAGAAGAGGTGGAGGTGGTACTGGAGGTTGACGAGGAGGAGGACGACGAGGAGGAGGGAGAAGAGGAGGAAGAGGAGGAGGGGGCCCCAAGAGGGGAAAGACTAGATGCTGTTGAAAAATACGTGAAAAAAAATGCGGGAATCAGCTCTCGTGTGTAGGGCGCCACATCCACTGTCAGCGGGTGAAAGACACCCCCCGTCTCACTCTCGGTGCCTGCGGTCGCGGCTGAGGAGCTCAGAGAGTCCAAGGGCCTGGTTGCTTGCGATATTAGAGGCGCAGAGAAGGAAGAAGAGGAGGAGGAGAGCAAGTGCCGCCATCCTGCCAATTGCCTCGCCAGTTGCAGCGTCATGTCGATACGTAGCTCCTCGCTCACCTCTGTTTGCGCGTGCGAAGACGCGGCAGGGCCGAAACCACAACGAATGGCCTCATGCACGGAGAGACTGTCGCATGTTTATGTGGCAAGTCCCCAAAAAGCATAGAGAGCAGTGAATGGTGGTAAGGATTTGTTGAATGTAAAGGTGCCGAAATGCACCACAACACATAATGATACAAAAACAAAAATTACGGAGAACGTACTTTTGTCCGTAGAAATCACGGTTATGACCACCGAGAAGCACTTGGTAAGAAAAAGGTAAAGGGAATGGAATAACCTAGATTATGTGTGACTGATTCGTTAAAGACAATCAAATGTAGTGCACTCCCGCCAGGTCAAACAGCTTACCGCTTTAGCCATTGGCGTGGCGTCAAACCATTTGCCATGTCTGCTCATCGCGCGATAAAGAGAACGAAGTAGAATGCCATGATCCCGTGTGCTAGCAACGGAGCCAGCAGCGGCAGCAACAGCTTTGCTCGTTGTCATAAGTGGTGCAATGCTTGGAGCAGTATATTGGTTATAGCAAAGGGGGGAGGTTGATACGTATGTGGAGAAATACTTTACTCTGGCTTCACACCGAGCATCTTTCAAATCAAGAGCTATGCGAATCAATACAAAGGGATAAACATGGTATTATTGAATGTCTCTGTGGGCGTGAGTTCAGACGCGGCGGCGAATTACCTTAGGCCGGGAGATTGAAGTTCTCGGTCGTCGCTGCTTCCTTAGAAGTGCGTGGTAGTTTTCGATGGGAACATAATGCAGCAAAAATGGACAGACAGCATTTGTTTGAGATTGCGTGACGGCTTTCGTCGGAAAATTTTTGAAAAGTGGATAGTGGGTCTACTTTTAGTTCCAATGGAGGATTAAATCGACTCCTTAAAATTGTTATCGTATTCTACGTATGATCCACTCGAGGAGGGGATGGGAAAATAACACATGATTTCATGTTCGACGCTTATGTGGTAAAATTTGCTGTGAGCCAGCAATTATACGAGAGATGACTTCTTCTGTATACCGATTCAATCCCCCCCCCTCCTTTTCACTACAACCATTATTACTTTGTTTAATGAACTTGTTGTCACTTTTTTCAAAACCTCCTGTACTGTCGCGGCCAGCCCTTACCCTATTCTTCCTGCATGACACTTAATGGCAACAAATGTGGAGTTAAGTACTTGGATTTGCCTTAAAACTACGGGCGTGTAGATACGTTATGGAAGACAAGGCAAGATACGCCCAGGAGAGAATTACAACGAGTGTCTTCTTGTCCAATGTAAACTTTTTTGGTTTTTGCCAGCTGACCCTGCAACCGTTCACGGCGCTCTGAATACGTTTGGTAGGCGAACATTTGAGATGAATATCGGCGACCAGAGAAAGACGATTCTCAAGCCTCGACCTCAAGTAGTTTGAGAGCTAGGGTAAGACTGACTTTTCAAATGTGGCATCGCTTTCCGGATAATACTTGATTTACACAAAAAAACGAAGTACATATCTTGGCCTTTTAAAGATCGAAAAAGCTTGCATTTTGCCCAGAATGTGCTCTCTCTTTCCAAAAAGAAGGACCATTGGAGAATACAGCACTGGTTACCAAGCGCGAGGAGTAGCCCGGTCTGCAAGACCAAGTCCATCAGAGTCATTCCTATGATATTTCTGCGTTTTATTGACGCCCTGCATCCCATACTGTACTTTGAGCTTTCACTCTCGAATATCGCGCAGCATGCGATGAAGACTGCAGCAGTTTCATACTGAGTTTTGAAATTCTTTCTTGCTTTTCCTGGTGACGATCATCGTAGCGAACAGCAGCACATCCACCATCCGCGAGTCTTACCTGACCCAAATTGACGCTGTACCTTTGGATCATTCAAAGGATCGCTATCTGCAGATTCAAAAGGGAGTCTTATTAAAAGCCACACCCTTATCATTGTGCGCAAGAAGAAGTCTGACAGGATGGTTAGGTCTCCCTCTAGTGCTTTTCTGACAGCACACCTTATCCTTTCAAAGAGTTTTAACCCTGTCGATTCAAACAGTTTTTGAAGGCTTCTCATTATCCTCTACGGGGGCGCTCAGTACCATAGCGGACAACATACTTCCTCCCTTGCGGACTACCTATCCGATGTTACCGCGGCCGCGGCCTCATCGCCTCCCCGGGTAGAACGCCCGGTAAACAGCCGTAATGTCTTCGAGAAGGTCATTTAAATGAATATAAGCTTGAAACCTTCTGTAGTTGTAGTGCACTTCCTATTTAGTTTTCCGGAGATTTCAATAATTTTAACAACAGTACAACCAGGGAACGGAATCACGAAAGACTGAAGTCGAGTATACGTCTAATGTTAGTGACCACATTACCGTATCAACATCGATGGAGTCATCTCCTCGTAGACAACAAAGGTGATTTATATGTCTTCATGGAAGTAAACAATAACCTGATGGCGGAATAATCGTGTTTTGATTTCGTGATCTTATGCTTTGCTGCGAGGCCGCACAGTGTAATTTTAGCAGCTGTAACTTATTAAAATACTCCATGCTTGATATTAGCTTATTCTTTACTCGCAGCCAACTCATTATGAAGGGACGGGAGACAGTTATGTACAGGCCCCAGCGTGCAAAACAATGTATACGTGAAAGACTTACTATTGTCGTCCTCAGAGATATAATTTATATGAATTGTGAATTTGAATTGTGAATATTTCTTATGGTTGTGTCATACCGAAGTGAATAAATATCGACTCTCCACACTTTTAACATGAATTTCAAGATTTCAAGAAAATTTTCATCAAAATTCCTAGTCATTGCCAAATCTAAAACATGACTGAACTACAGGTGGAGTAATTGTTTCTGCCACTGCACTTTCAGGTATCTGTCGTACGTGCACGTAAATTTATTGCAGTTGATGCCAAGGCAGCTCCTTTTTGTTGAACGGGAAGTATTGTGGATGCCGCTTGACAGCTTTTTCGGGGTGAGACAAGAAGGAAGAAGTGAAGTAAAGCAATCAATGCGGTATCTCCCCCTATTCTGCGGCCTGAAAGGAGCCATGCCGGAATGGAGGCCTGAAATTGTGCTGCAGTTTCAAACATAGCAGGGCTGGGGTCTTGAATCGATAAGTCTTCGCAGTGGTCATGTATGGGTGCGTACGGCCCCCTGGGCCGCATTTATTATGTTTGCCGAACCCCCCCAAGTGCTCAACCCGAAGGAGGAGAAATCCTTCTCCAGTGGAGAAACCCTCTGTCTGCTGCAAATGTGACGCCCACTCGATCATCTCTGTCTTTTAGCCTCCAGAATGCCTCAAATACGGTGATACTTGTAAAATTGTAGGTTCGAAGTCATGTAGGCCGCTTAAGTGTCATCATACTTCTGGTCTATCCCCTCCCCTTTCTCCTCAGCCATAGATACAGGGTTCGCGGGACGAGATCAAAGTAATTGAGTTCACTGCACCCAAGCAATCATGGCCGCACGCGTATATGTGGGCAACTTGCCCATGGACATCCGAGAGCGCGACGTGGAAGACCTTTTTACCAGATATGGCAACGTGACGAACGTGGACCTGAAGACTCCCGCGCGGTGAGGAGGGAGGAGGGAAGAAATGGCAAGGAGAAGAAGAAGAGGAAAGGGTGTGCGGGGACTGTCAGCGATCAACAGCGTGGAAGGCATGGATAGGAAAAGCGTCAGGAGAGAGTATGCCGTGTGGACTGCCCGATGAAGTGGAAGCCTGCGCCTTCAAATTCTATATCACGATGCGCGCCTCATAGCCCGCCACATCCTCTACGCCTCTGCCTTCTTCCGCAGGCCCCCCGCCTACGCCTTTGTCACTTTTGACGATCGCCGTGACGCTGAGGATGCTGTGAGGGCACGAGACAACTACCAGCTCCAGGAAGGGAACAGGCTCCGCGTGGAGATGGCGCGGCGGGGGGGGCGGGACGGCGGGAGGGGAGGTGGGTTGGGGAGGGGAGGGGAGGGGGGGGGTATGGGCGGAGGGAGGAGGGTATGGATGGAGGGAGAGGCGGAGGGTACGGTGATAGGTACGGAGGGGACCGGCCTTACGGCGATCGTGGGATGGGCGGAGGACGAGGGGGAGGGGGAGGGAAGCGCACGGAATATCAGCTGATCGTCACGGACTTGCCCCCGTCGGCGTCGTGGCAAGACCTGAAGGACCACATGCGAGGGTCGGGGGGCGACGTGTGCTACTCCGACGTGGACAGGAAGGGAGGAGGACTGGTGGAGTTCACGCGGGAGGACGATATGCTGGAGGCTCTGGAGCGTTTGGATCGCAGGTGAGGGGAGAGGTCGGGGGAACGCTTGGCAAGGGGGGTAGTCTGCAGATCCCGACCATCTCATGCCATTTCCCTTTCTGCCCCCTCCCCCCCCTCTCCAGCGAATTCCGCAACCGCTTCGACACCTGCGAAATCCGCGTGCGTCTGCCCAAGGACTCCCCCTTCGGCCGGGCGGGGGGGACGGGGGGGAGGGCGGAGTCGGAGCCGGAGTCGCAGCCCCCGAGGCCGTCCTGGTTCCCGCTCTCGCTCCAGGTCCCCTGCCTCCTCCTCCCCTCGACGACCTCGAGGCCGAGGGAGGGAGGGAGGGAGGGAGGGAGGGAGGGAGGGAGGGAAGGACAGAAGCGAGTCCCGATCTCCGTCGCGGTCCCCTCCTCGCAGGCGGGAGCGCTCATCTTCCCCTCCCGGCCGCTCCCGCTCCCGCTCTGCGTCGAGGTGAATCCATGGAGGCTGGCAAAAGACGTAAAGTAAGCTTGATTGAGGAGTGACTGATGGGGCCCGCACTGGGAGAGGAGCGAGGCGGGCGCGACGGCGGGGGTGAGCATTGAAGAGGGGGGCGTTGAGTTTGAGAGTAGGGTATAAGGAGAGAGGGCGAGAGCAAAGCGGGCGAGCCAGGCGAGAAATCCAGTCACAGGAGCAAAGAAATCAGGCTAGATGGCCCCTTACCATCCATGTGGTCGGCGCAGGAACGTCTCCTCGCCTGGCCTTCCACGTCTTCCTACGGAAATGGGAGCTTTTGGGGGTTTCCTCTCGTAGTATTTATGTTTGGTACGTCCCCGCAGTTTCTTTTATCTACAGTGCTTTCGACTGCCCCCGTTCCTCCCTCCCTCCCTCGGCCACGACCTCCTCCTCGTCCTCCTCGTCCCCCCACCCCTCTTCCATCCTCCCTCTCTCCCTCGCTTGCAAACCATTGAGTGCTCGCCTCTCCCGGTCGATCTGCTCCAGCTCCCGGTCCACCATTTGGAGGCGTGCTCGAGCCTTGCTCAACCTCCCTGTATCGATACCTGTGGGGGCCGATGGGGGTTGACACAGAGAGAAAGAGAGAGAGGGAGGGAGCAGAGGAGAAGAGGAGAGGGGAGCCAGACGTGAGGTCCATGGGATTGGTTGTCGCCGTGGAGCCGGCTGTCTTGTTCCATCACGCGAAGAACGACACCCTTAGACAGGCCCCGCCCCCCCCTTCCTTATCTTCGCTCGGTGCCTCCTCCCCTCTCCCAACCCACCTTCCCCCGCTCGCAGCACGTCCGCAATCCGCCTTCTCCAGACCTCCCTGGAGACCATCAAAGACTCCTCTCTCTCCTCCAAGCGCGCCATGTCCGACGCAAAACTCTCCTTTTCCCTTTCCTCCTCCACTTTTCCCTTCCTCCCTCCAATCCCACCTCCCGTCCTCCCCTTTTTCCCTCTTCCCACGTTCGACCAGACGGCAGGCTCCTCCCTCTCACCAGTCTTGCGCAAAATGGCTTCGCGCCCATCTCTTTCTCCCTTCCCCCCTCCCTCTCGTTTCCCTCTCCTCTCCGCGTCGAATTGCTGCGGGTAAGTCTGTCGGTCGAAGGGGAAGGCCCCTCGGAATACCCCTCCCCCCCCCTCCCGTCCTCGCTCTCTCGATGTCCTCCTCCGCAGCCGCCCGCCACCCTTGGCCCACGTCCTGGGGGCGGTTCCATTCACCTGAAGGTTGTTCCCGGGCCCGAAGGGAGCGAGAAAGAGAGAGAGGAGGGTAAGAAAAACGCTGAAAGGCTGTGGGAGGGAAGGGGGAAGGGAAGGAGAGGAGAAAGGGGAAGGGAAGAAGGGAAGGAGGGGAGGAAGGGAAAGAGGAAGGAGGGAAGCACGCACCCAGCCAGTCTATCTCGTCCAAGTAGTAGTCATCATCGTCGTCGTCAAGCCCTTCCAAACCGAACCAAAAGATGCGCTGGTAGACATCTCTGAGCCATTCCAAAAAGACGTTCTTGTTCCTTCGCACAGGCCGGCCCTCGCGCCCGACGCCCACGCTGTGGAAGAGGGTAGGACAGGGAGGCGTTTGGGGAAGATGCAGGGGAATGAATGCAGCGTTGCGAATGGAAGTATGCCAGAATGCCGTAGCAATAGCCTGGGCTGCATCTTGCGGAAACATTGAAGAAAAAAATTCACTCCCTTCCCTCTACGTACATTCGAGCCACCTCGTCCTGGTACTCCTCCTCCTCGTCGCCGTATTCCTCCTCCTCGTCCCGCTCCTCCCTCTCTGACTTTCGTCGGACGAAAAGCCGCGGACCCCATGGCCCCCTTTTGTCCTGCTTCGTCTCCCTTGGCGCAGTAATTGGTAGCCTGGTGGGTCTTATGCCATTGGTAGGGCTGATGAAGGGGCGAGGGACGAGAAAGGCGTGCGTCGTCGAGCCAGGAAAGGGCTCCAGTACAAGGGAGAGGGCGAATGCAGATAGGCAGAGGATGGAAGTCGGAAGCATGAGCTTGTGACTGCCAATTTTTCGGAAAGCAATGGGCTTGATGTGATGATGGGGAAAGTGACGGGAGGATGGGAGAGGCTTTCTCAGCTGAGAACTTCAAAGCAGGTGCAAGCGTTCCGGTGGCAGCTGCACGGTCCTTATATCATAGTGTGGACGAATCGTTCATATTACAGATACAAAAATGTGTTTTGTTATCGGTGTGTCCTCTTCACTTGTCGGATCGTTCATAGTGTGGCACTGCCTGTGGTACGTCGCTTTCGAGAGGGAGGCGAGTCGGCGACTGAGGAGTCGAGTACGGAAGAAAGAATACATCTCATAAGCAGGGAAGACATTGCGTGACTAGTGCAAAATTTTGAAAAAATAACCGTGACGCATAAGGGCTGTGAAAGTTCACATTCCTGGAAGAGATGACGTGACGGAAAGGAAATTGCACGGTTAAAAGGAGGGGACGAATCCCGCCTCCAAGGGGAAGTTGATACTTCTGTTTACATTTTCGCATCTCGTGCTACACAAAGAACAAAGGTCAGAATATAATGGCCTCGCCGTTTTCCTCAACTGGGGGTAAGCTGGGGCTGGCTTCGAAGGTACAGACACAGGGTAGTTGTCACGACGCGGAAAATTCAGATGGTTGCTGCCTTGCTGGCGTCGACGACAGACTCGAGGCTTTGGCACACTCAGTTTCACAAGACGTTATTCCCGGTTTAGAGCGTGAGCTGAATAAGGTAATCAATGGAGCGAAACGGAACAGGGTCTTTGGGGAAGGAACCGGGAATCTCTCATCATTTTATCTACTTATGTAGGTGCGAGGTTGGTTGGCAATGCTGGACGCTCGTCAACCTGTGGGGTGTATTTCCGCGCGCGCTAATCCGTCGGGCTTGTCAAAGACACAATCGTTATCTGAGCGCAGCGGAGAAAGCGAGGCGGTTCCGATTTCTCAGTCGGAATTGAATTTGAAGGTGCATCATAAACTTGAGACATTGAATACCGCGGTGCGGGTGTTCAAGGTAAGAAATCCGAGTACATGCTTAAACCAAGTCTCGTTGTGAAAGCTAATTGTATATAATAATATCGAGCATCCTACTGACAGACGGCACTGGGTACCAATTACAAGGCGCCGATGAAGACGACAACTTATTGACGTGCGATATGCAGAGAGAAATATGGATAATCGCTTGATTGAGAAATGAATGTATAAAATTATTGGAATGCTAATTTAAAAAGAAAAAGAAATTTTCATTAGGCTTATATTCCACAAAATCAGCAAGGACTCTATGGAAGCACTCCTTTTTTCCCGGTAAATATTTTTCTGCCAGACATTGAGCCGTATTCTTGACATGATAATATTTAAGGTACCGATTTGAAGGCAATCTCCAGGGCTCGTGGCCTAGTGGTATGGCGTCCGCTTTGCAAGCGGAAGGTCGCGGTTTCGATCACCGTCGGGTCCACTTTTTTCTTTGCCATAAGTGTGCATTATGAATGTGCGACAAGCGGAAGGTGTGCGCTGCCTTTTGTGTGTTGCGTTCTTGAGCGAGAGTGCCTCTCGACACCTTCAAACCAGCAGTGGCGGGTCTTTTCTTCAAGAATTTTTTCCTCTCAAGGAAACACATGGCTGAATGAGAATTTTAGATGCGTTTCATCTCTAACCCTAATCCAAACATTTCAATTCGCTTTATTCTGCCCAGATCACTTCAGGCATACAAGCCATCTTTGGTCGTCATATGTGTAAGTGGGATGAACAACAGGTATGCTGGGTAACAGATGTAGGATGACGAGTGGAGAGAATCACAAGCAAAAAAAGATGCAATGTGGTAGGAAGCTTTTTGCTCGCAGGCGGAATCGAACCGCCGTTTCTTCGGGATTTG